ACTATGATAATTGTGTACCTATTGTTTATAAACTAAATTTATATGTATTATAATTTATAAATACATGATATGATTTAGCTGTGTGAAAAAAATCAACAGTTTTGTTTATAATTGTTTTTGACAGATACTAGATYCTGATCACGACTTTTGGAATTTGCAAGCTGAAAATAACTATACAATAAAATAGGTATATTAAGAGTATAGAATACGATAACTGAATGAGTTGTCTGTCTTAAAAACATTTAACATACCAATAATTGTACGTTCTGAATAATCTATTTAACTCGAGTATTTAAAGCAAAACATTTAGATTCTGAGTAGAACAATGAATGATTAATTTTATAGTGGTGTATATTATTTGTGCGTCTGTATGTCGATCTGTCATCATCTTTTGTTTTGATTTGTTTTTTAACTTTAAGGATTCCTGAATTTTTTTTATAAGAATTTAAAATTTAAATGTTGACAAAATTCATTAAAATCAAGATACTTTGCATATTATTTTAAAGATTCCAATTCATAAAATATTGAATTTTCAAACTTAAATYCTAACCTAATCAAGGGTTTGAAAATCTAACACAATGTTTCTTATAATTACATACCGAAATCAAATCAATTTAGTATTTGATAGGTTTTAGTATCGTTTAATAATAAGGGCTGTCGCTGTAGACAACTATTATTGAATATTTAAAATTTTGGTACTGATAGCGGTGAGGAGGAAGGTCCAGTGTGTACAATTTATAAATAGATAGATGCTTAAAAGTATAAACTATACTTGTATTTCATTAAAATAATTGTATTCATAAATCATAATTCATAATAATACCTATAATAATATATTATGTTAGAAGGTACCTATCATAAAGTAATAACTGCGATAACGAATTTTTAAATGGTTGATCTGAACAGTTCTAAAAAGAGAACTTACCTACCTGGTTGTTGCATTGGGCCCTTMATTTACTTTCACTCCACAAGTGAGAACACCTATTTTTTTCTAAAAAACATTTGAAGTTCAAATTTGGATTTTGTAATTGTAATTCAAAAATATTCGCGTGGACTTGAAACTTTTAACGTACCTAAATCATTATTATTTTTTTGTAAAAGCCTTCCTTCACACAATAAAGACATTTTCAAATTCGTGCACTGTAAATAATTCAACCTATCGTAGATAAACCTTAGGTACATATTTTATTAAAAATAAAATTGATCASTCTAATAGCAATGTAAATACCTACTCGTACCTATATCGTTAAATAACATACTTGGTAGTATATAGGCTGACAGATTATTTTCGCTTAGATTCTCAGAAATGTTGTTCGTACCTATAGGGCTGTGGCCCTGTGGTAGAGTTTCGACCCGGCTATTGTTGTTTGTGACGCCAGAACCTGCAGGTGAATTCCAGCCGGTACCTAATATTTTTTAGCCAGTGACTGGTAAGTTTCGCATAAAAAGAAATTCGTTCCGTTCATTGTTCCTTTCAGAAAAAAAAATTGTTCATTTTTATTATTTATATTTCTATATAAGTAATAATTTATGAAAAATAATAATATAGTGACTAATCATTAATGAGTGGGTACTGGGTAGTAATTATTGGTAGATAATGTCCAAGTTATAACTTATAACTAATTAACGTTGATACACGATTACGATCACTAATTGAGATTATTTGGCACTATACAAAATATACCTATTTTAATTTCAATTATACATTAATTATTATACTTAAAGGAACAAAAAATGTCGTTATTTTTCCTAGAAAAAAATAAATCGTAAATTTTTTCATTCTTTCACAAATAATTTGTTTCAGGAATCCGTTCCCTTTTGAACTCTTTCTTTCCAAACACTAATTGTAGCTAATTGATACCCGATTAATATTAATAATAAATAAATTTTATTATAAATAAATTGAATAATTAAAAATACCATAATTCATCACCGGCCTTTATATTTCCTTAACATTTGGGCAATGGTAGGAAAAAAAGTCTCAGGAAAAAAATTCTGTTATATTAAGACAAATAACTATTAATTATGTAACGATATAATAGATAATAAATACAA